CCATTCTGACAGTTTGGTCTGGTAGAACCATCTGACATACCTGGTACTTGTGATCTATATTTTCAACTCCGGATTATCACAGGATCATGGGAGATTGGATCCAAACATTGTTTCCTCCTGTACTTGCATCTGATGTAGAATCACATGGACAGTTGCCTTACTTCAGTAAATCCTTGGTTGCTTTTTTCTCTGCCTTTTAATAGCTATTTTTAGGATCATTTTCTTCTCCAAGTTTTGAAATAAGGTAGCAAATAAATATGTCTTAGTTAAATTAGCCAAATGAGAACATTTGATCCAGAGAAATGTTAGCAAGATCAAAACTAACAACTAGTTAGTTGTGAAGGCCTTCAGTTAATATCTGTTCTTCACGAATACAGGTTGAAACATTAATTTTTTTTTCTCTTTTTTGAATTTTTGTTGGGTAACAGTGTGTTTTTTTTCCAGGACCCATCAGCTCCAAGTCCAGTCGCCATTTTCAATCTAGTTGCAGGGGGCGCAGCCCACCATCCCATGTGGGAATCAGACCAGCAACCTTGTTGTTCAGAGCACACATTCTAACCAACTGAGCCACCCGGCCACCCCTGAAACATTACTTTTTAATGAAAGTTGTCATGCTTACCAAGGATCACGTTGCAGATGCTTGCATAATTCTTTTATTTATTTTTTATTTATTTATTTTTTTAAAGATTTTTATTGGGTAATTGGGGCGATGGGAACAGTGATGGGGAATTGGGGGAAGGGGAACAGACAAGTTGCTGTCGTTTTGTTCTTCAATCTAGTTGTGGAGGACGCTGCTTCACTGGCCCAAGTTGGCACCATCATTGCGCTCTTCCCCAGGCGAGGCAGATCAGTCGCCGGCTTCTGGACGGCCGCTCACTGCGACTGCTGGCCGCTCACGCTGGCTGCTGGCTGCTGGCTGCTGGCTACATACGGTAGCCCATGGCAACCCACTGTCACAGGGACTGCAGCCTACGCTGTCGCCAGCGACTCACGGCAGCCCAGCTCCAGGTTGAGCTGTTGTTCAGCATCTTAGCTGTGGAGGGCAGTGTCACTGGCCCTCATATGTGGGATCCGAACCGGGGCCCTCTGGCATCCCAAGCGAGTTCTTAACCATCGCGCCACTCGGCCGGCCCGCTTGCATAATTCTTTTAAATGCAGATTTAGACTGTAATCAGGGTAACAGAGAAAAAAATCAGGTGGGTAAAGTGCAGAATAAACCCTGACGTTTTCTTAAAAGCAATATTGTATTTAGTCCAAACTCTACTTTAAAAAATATAAATGTGAGTCTTTCAGGAGAATTTTTTTTTTTTTTAAGATATCCATGGTGTCCAGTGGTAAATGTTTCCAACTTGTCTTTTAGTATTACTCATTCCAATTTTTTTCTAGTCACCCTGAATGGTAAAAAATTTCTGTACATCCAACAGGAATCTTTTTTATTTAAACTATTCTTAGAAAGTGTGTGTGTGTGTGTGTGTGTGTGTGTGTGTGTGTGTGTGTGTGTGTTGCTGTTTTCTTCTGGTTTGTTTGTATCTGGTGCTCGCGAAGATTTTTTGAAATAATCAAGAAACACGTCATAGACAGTGTTTACTGTCTTTCAACAATAGCTTACATTTTTTTTTTGTTAATAGGACATGTGGTGTTGGAGCGTGTATTTGAGAAATAGGATAGACAGCATGGAGGTAGAGTGTGAGGCACTGGAATCCTTCTGCTTAGATTCAAGTCCCGGCTCCACTTTATACTAAGGATGTAACTTTGGGCAACTCCCTCAGCCTCTCTGGGCCTTGTTTTTTTTCTGATATAAAATGGGATTGGTGGTAATAGTACTTACCCCATGTTTTTTGTAGATGCTTAGAGCTTAGGACAGTACTAGATACATAATAAGTATTAAATAAATGTTAACTATTATTACTAAACAAATTAGTAACAAATGTTAGGCATTGATTTTGGATTTTATTGTTTGAAAAAAAATGGTTTCTTATTTTTGGTGGGTTACAGCAGGAGGGGGAAGAAACGAGGCAGGAGGGCAGTGTAATTTTTGTTTGTTTATTTTTAATATGATCACTGGGACATCTTTAACTGGAAGACAGGACTTGATTGTTGTTTTTATTTGTACGAAGTAGCCATATCATTTCCCCCGATTAATGGCAAGCTTCAGAGCTCTCTATGCACCTGTGGAAATCACTTCCAGCTTTGTGTTCTCTACCAGAAGAAGCTTGACAACAAACTGAGAAAACATTTGGCTTACCTTCCTAGTTTTAGAAACCTCCTGTGGCTCTTTGACACTAATGTTCACAGTGTTTATGGTCCTAAAAAACCATAAAAGTGTATGTCAATGGCTGTTATTGCGGTTGTCATTGGTGAAAGGTAGGGGACAGAAAAATCAGACCCTACATACCTGTTGGTGACATTGGTTGTTTTTTTTTTTGGTCATGGTGTTAAGTGATTAAAAATCAGGTTATTAGTTAACCATAATTTATTGACATAGCTAAATTCCACAGAACTTTCTTTAATGCCATTACTGACCATAAAATTGACAGTTTGATATGTTAGGATGACTTGTGCTTGTTAGATGTTGTCTGAAATATTTTGGGAAATCTGCTCCTGGTATAAGTCCAATCTCATCTCTGAAGTATTTCCAAGTTCTCTGGTTTAGAAGTTTTCCTGATAGTTTGCCACTAGAAGCTGTGATGTGTGTTTGAGAAATTCCAAAGCCTTTTTAGCCCACAGCCCCTGAATTCTTTCTCTAAATGGTTTCTCTAAGCCTGTATTATTACTTCCGCTTCCTCCCGGAGCCATGACTTCTAACCCCGTACCTTCAGTACGCAGTGCTTTTAACTTTTCTCTACCCCTTATTCTCTTTATGCACACAGTCCCTGAAACCTTTTAATTCTTCTTTAGTACCCTTTGTACCCAACCTTCTCTCTTTCATCTTTTTCCTTGCTTACTACCTTGTCAGGAACACATGGCTCCATGCCTAGATTACAGTAACAGCCACCTAACTAGCCTCTAAGACAAATGTATTCAGTCCTGTCTTCCTGTGTCGCTTTCTGATTAAAGCCCGTACTATGTGTTTCACTCCTGATAGAGCACTTAGAGTGGTTCTAAGAACAGACCAGACTCTTCAATCAGCTCATCTTTATTTGGCCCTGCCATTATTTGCTCTTAACATCCGTTCTGAGCAACAATTTCTCTTTTATGCTGAGTGTCGTAACTTCCATCATCAGGCTCTTTTTTAACTTTATTTGTTCTAGTCCTTTCAATCTCCTTTTCCCATATTTCTACTCAAGTATCTTTCATCCATTCCTCATGAGCTTCAGCTCATGGCTTCCCATTTTGCATCCTACATACCCCTCCAGTTAGACTCATAACCCTTATTCTCTCTCTCTCTCTCTCTCTCTCCCTCTCTCTCTCTCTCTCTCTCTCTCTCTCTCTCATTTCTTTTTTTTTAAAGATTTTATTGGGGAATTGGGGAAGGGCAACAGCGCTGGGGAATCAGGGAAGGGGAACAGACAAGTTGCTGCCCTTTTGTTCTTCAGTTTGGTTGTGGGGGATGTCGCTTCACTGGCCCATGTTGGTATTGTGATCATTGCACTCTTCCCAGCTGAGGCAGATCGATCGCCAGCCATTGGACGGCCGCTCACAGCAGCTGTTGGCAGCTCACGCTGGCTGCCGGCCGCTCACGGTAGCTTTATAGCAGCCCACTGCAGCTCCACTACAGTCTATGCCATCGCCGGCAACTCACAGCAGCTCAGCTCCAGGTCGAGCTGTTGTTCAGGATCTTAGCTGTAGAGGGTGCAGCGTCACTGGCCCTAATGTGGGATCTGAACCGGCGGCCCTGCTGCTCAGAGATGGTGTCCCAAGCCAACTCTTAACCAGCGTGCCACTCGGCCGGCCCTCTCTCTTATTTCTTGCCTTCTATGGATACTTAACTGTTACCTGTCCATTTTTTATATTTCTATTGTATGTTTTCCATTTTTATATTTCTGTGTTTTATCATTTTCACTCAATCAGTTTTTAATTCCCTAAGGACAGGTATAATTACTTACGTGTATGTTTCCCCTTAGAATGATTTATATAGGAGGCACTTGATAAAATAAAAATGTGGAGTGAATCCATGGTTAAAATTTGGAGGAGTCAACATATGCATGGTTCTGCTTGGGATCAGATGAGATGTCATGAGACAGCATTCATATAAGTACTATGCAAATATAAGGTGGTGAGATTAATTTGGGGTGTGTTTTGGGCTTTTGTTGACAATGTCCTCCATTCTGGAAGACCAACACTCTGCCTGGACTTCTCATTACCTTCAAAATTTAAACAGAGACACTGAGGTGTGTTTCCATAATAGGTCTTACAAATCAGACCTGATTTTCTCAGATGTTTGTTTATTTACATATATTTTACTAGGTCTTAATTTCCTATGGATATTTGTTAGTTTTCTTTTTCCTTTTTGTCTAAAATATTATTAATAGAGAAGCTATTTTACTGTCACTTCTGCACTGCTGTTGTCTCCATTATGGGGCTAAAGAACCTTATTTATCTTCACACACAGTTAGTTGAGGAGAGGGATTATATCATAGCCCTTGGCATTATCCCTTGCTGCCTTCCTATATTGTCATCCGTCTCAGACTAGGTCATCTGGAATTTCACATGCGCCCCTCTCTTAGCCATTTCCACATTTCAGCTTGGACCAGCCATGATAAGTCACAGGCTAGAAGCGGAGCTGCTTGCGTTCTGGAATGGAGCACTGTACACCTGAGCGTTTGGGTGGAAAAGAATACAGAATCTACAGCTGTAGGGCACACATGAGAGTTTTGCATGTGATTAACATACATTTTCTCCCCCAGATACACCTGTCTACATTAATTTTTTTCCTCATCTTTTTTCCCCCTAGGTGTCCATATTAGTGAACATTCTCCCCCACCCCCCACCCACCCCTTTTGTAGGATCTGTATTTACTGCTCCGGCAGAGTCTAACTTGATTTCTTTTCTATCATCAGGGCATCCGTGGTATCCTCCCCAAACATGCTGCTCAACTGCCTGTGATCCATGGAAAGCTGTTCCCTGTTGTCCATCCCACCAGGCGCCCTCAAAACTAACAGACAGAAAAGGGAAATGGCTAACGGTAAGGCATTTTTTTCCCCTCTTCTTAGAAAATTTCGAATGCGTTTACTTTTAAGTGCTGCCAATGCAAGGTTTTTCTTATGTGTGGGTGGTATGAGTATAGTTCAAAAATGTTGTTTTTAGGATATTAAAAGTTTAGGAACTTGTTTTGGATCCCTTTCACAGTGATGGGTCAGGAAGAAGAAGATGAAAGAGCACATTACAGATAACTTTTTCAAATATTCAAACATTTTTGACATTCTAAGTTTCAGATCTCAGAGTTCCATTGACTTCTGGCTGTCACCTCTGGCATGATGCGCCGATAACTTAAACTCAATATAGCCAGAGACAAACTGTTTGTTCTACTATAACCTTTTCTTTTGAGTTTTGACTTCAAAGATTGCTGTTGTCATTTATCTGCTGTCCCCGTGCCCTACCAACCACTCATTCCCTATTTAAACTTCCCATGTACTCCAAATATTTTTCTAATCACTCACCGTTTTGCCATTCTTATATCTGGCGTCTCTCATCTCCAGCCTTGCGTATGTCAATCACCTTCTTACTAGGCCATATTGTCTACTGTGGATAACTCTATACTGCCCCACTCCCCTGAAATAGATCTCATTGAGTTATTTCCCGTATGACTAAAGAGGACATTTAAAGCGTCCCCACATCTCATGCCCCATCAGTCTCATTTCCATAATCTTTCCACACCTGGATCGACTGATGTCTTTGATCTGATGGTCCAGTCTTGGTCCAGTTCCAGAGTCAGTCCTGGTTGAGCCAGGATGAATGTAAATGTTTTTGATTCCCCCGCTTACCATTTTCCGTATCCATTGAGCACTTAAAATTAAGCAATTATCCTACATCAGACATTTAGTGGCACGGCGATATCCTCTGAGTTGCTATATTTCTCCTATTGTCTCCACTAGTATTCAGAGCCAGTTCCTTTTCCCATTGTTTGGTGGCGGTGATTTGCAGTTCTTCCATCCATCTTGTATTGACCCAGTCTGGGCTTTTATTAGGGTCCCATAGCCTCAAGTTGGCTAGTTACTCAGTTCAATAATCTAGCCTTCCTTTAAGCCTTCAACCTGGACTTCAACTTCTTGATAGTTGAGGTGCTTTCCATCTCAATTATTCTTATCAGGACTGCTGATTATGATGCCTAACAACACCTGGGGATGGTTCTTTGCTCACTGTGTATGTTAGTTTCCTGTGACTACCGTAACAACTTAGCGCAAACTGGGTGGCTTAAAACAACAGAAATTCCCACATTAACAGGAATGCACCCTCTCCAGAGGCCTAGGGGAGAGTCTGTTCCTTGTCTCTTCCAGCTTTTTTCTGGTGGCTGCTGACAGTCCTCCGCTTGTGGCTGCATCACTCCAGTATCCCCGCCCTGGTCATATCCTTTTCCTCGCCTGTCTATAGTCAGACATTTTACCTCCCTCTAATAAGCATACTTGTGACTGCATTTAGGGCCCAATTGGATAATTCAGAATAATCTCTCTGTCTCAAAATCCTTAATTTAATCACACATGCAAAGCTTTTGCCATAGAAGGTAACATTTACAGCTTCCAGAGATCAGGACCTGTTCTCCTTGGAGGCCCTTATTCAGCCTACTGCACGGTTTTCCTCAGTGACTTTAGGCCTGTTCCTTATCCTGGAAACCCTGGTCCTGACCATTCCTGAGTCACAGTTCAGCTTGCAAAGCCCTTTGGCAGAACTGCTTCCTATCTACCTCACCTACACCTAGAGAATTGGCCTCAGCATACTGTCCATTTCCCTAGAGTCTGCCTCATGCCAGGGGCTGGTACCACCCCCGCTGCTCCTGTTTTTGCCTCCATCTCATATATTGAGTTATAGAAAATATCAAGTCTGTTTTCAAGAATATCCTGTAATGCTCCCTTCTCTCTCCCACAAAGATCTTGCCATTCGGGCCCTCCCAGGTTGTCTGTTGTGCTTCACTTGACTAGGATACACTGAGACATACCCTGAGATATGGGCTGCTGTTTCTTTACCTAGAATGCCCCTTACTGTTCTTCTGTATTTGGTGAAGTCATATTCATCGTGCAAGGTCTCGTTCGAGTGTCAGATTCTCTGATGCTGTCCTGAACTGTTCCCCGCTCTCCTCTTCCGTGCAGAATTGGTTACTTCTTCTTCAACACTCTGTTTATACTTGGTTCTAACACTGTTTTTACTACATTGTGTGTGTCTCCTCCTTGCTAGACTTCCAGGAATAGGATAGGATTCATCTTTTTTATTTTAACCTCACACATGACCCACAATAAGTGCTTGATATAGTAATATATAATATAATTATGTGTTTAATTGATCAATTTAAAAACTTCCATAATTCAGAATATCTTAGGCCATGTGATTATTTAGTAGTCACTCAATTTTTTATGAATGCCCAAATAATTTTTTTAAGGTGGCTATGTGCAGTTCATTTTGGCTTTTTTAAAATTTAAATTTATTGGGGTGACAATGGTTACTCAAGTTACATAGGTTTCAGGTGTATGATTCTGTAATACATCATCTATCACATTGTGTGTTCACCACCCAGAGTCAGTTCTCCTTCCATCACCATATATTTGATCCCTTCATTTTGACTTTTGTTTCCAGTACAAATGGATTAAAAATGCTCTAGTTTATGTATTTTACACTAAAATTTTATTCACTGTGACCCCTCATTACACTTAAGCCTCTGTGGAACTAATTTACTTTACTGTGAGACTTTACTAAATGTAAAAAACTGCCAGTGTAACATTGTCACTTAATTGTGTTCTTGTTGATCTAGAACTTTAAGCAAGAATTTGGAATTTTATTTGTCAGGATTGCTTCTTTTGATGTATTGGCGATCTGCTGAAACAGGACTTTTTCCCCTTTCCCGTGACTTTTCTCATGATGCTTTGTTTTGTCTGAGTAGGTCTGAATTTCAGCGTTTTCTTCCTCCACCTTTTTCACTGGCAGCCGGGGACAGAATTGCCCACCATCTCCCTGATCATAAATGTTATGCCCTGTGAAGTATCTGCCCTGTTGCATTACTGGCATCTGTTTCCTATTTCTAGGAGTTTTGTGGAAGGTGCTGGTATTTTATTACAGTGCATGTCTTATATTTATGAGAAACTCAGAGGACTTTGAGGATTTTCTTTTTTCGTATCTAATCTCTTAACAGCTCTCTGAGGTAGGTAGCCTGCAGTGTTATCTCCATTTTGCAGATGTTATAACAGAGGTATCGCACAACTTGATGTAGGCTCCATAACAAATTGGGAGCTGAGTGGAAACTGTCTCCTGTCTTTCAACCTCCATTTCAGTGATCGAGATGCCAGATGACTTAATTTTAAACACCTATACCCATTTTGGATTTGCATGAAATATTATTGTCAGCACTCATGGTAGCCAGCGTTCCAAATTTAGTATTACTTTTTCTATCGTCTGCATCCTATAATTCCCTTTTCATTGGTTACACACACACACACACACACACACACACACACACACACACACACACACTCTCTCTCTCTCTCTCTCTCTCTCTCTCTTTCTCTCTCTCATCTATAATAAAAATACACTTTGTTATATAAATATATAAAATATACTTTGTATAATGAAAATATGCTTCCTTTCAAAATAATGTATATACAAAATTGGGTTTGGGGGACTATATGCATGTATGAGATTTAGCTTATTTTATATATGAGATATTTGCTTATTTTATATGTTTTGACTAACTTTCTTGTCAGTTGAACATACCATATAGATATTAGCTAGAGATGTGAAAACATTTAAAAATACATACAACCCATGATAGTGAAAAGTGGAAGGAAGTAACAAATACTATAAATTAGACAGCAGGTACTCATTAATAAGGGAAATATGTTTTCTACTTAGATAATTCTTCCATGCAAATGACAGTATCACCAAAGTGAGCTGATCCTGTAACTTTAATATACTTTTCCTGAAATGTTTTCTTCTTTCTGAGGACAGTTAATACATTTTTTGAATGTAAAATTTTACTGCAGATGTTAAGTTCTTGATCAGATTTGCCTGAGTCTTAAAGGGAACATCTCAAGGGCTTTGTGTCTGCGGTATAGGGTGTGTGGCGAGGCAAGGCCTCTTTCTTCTTCGTGACTGCATTTGGAATGTCCCACTCTTTTGCCAAGTGGCATTAATTATACCGTTGCTTCTAGGGCGCTAAGAGCTGCCTGGCAGGGAAGTCTCCCCAGTTTCTGGAGTTTCTGAGGCACAGTTTCAGTTTCTTGCTGTGGAATGGTGGGGAGGCAGGCTCTGACACAGCTGCCATAGGAGTCAGCCTTCAGACTTCTGTGTGATTTTCCTAAGCCCTGAGAAAGGATTTAGAGCACCTGGTGGGGTTTGCAAGGCGCCACCCCTCTGCTTTGTCAGCCTCTCCTCCCACCCCCTGTGCTGCTCAGCACCACCCAGCTGCCCTGTTTTTGCCTGGAAACCCTTTGGAGTGGCTGGAATAGAGGCCACCCAGAGCTTCTGTGAGCAGCTGTGGCTGCAGGTCTCCTATTGGCTGGAGCAAAGATGGTTCTCACTTATCTACAGTGAACACGGGTGGCCGTGATCCCTTAGGATAATGCAATTTCTCACTGTCTGGGGGTGGAAGCTATTGTCCTCCTTTCCAGCTTGTTGTTTGAAGTAGTTCTGTAAGGCTTCCGGCTTTTGCTGACTCACAGACACACACATAAAAATCCCTCCCTCCCCTATCCCTTCCCTCCTTTCCTCCCTCCTTCATCCCCATTTAATGGCTTTTGGAATGATTGAGAAGATAACAAACCTCCCTGCTAGGGGGTAACAGCTTCAACAGTAAGTAGAAAGAACTGTTCACCCAGGTCCACAAAGTCTGCAAACATTCATCCAGTCGTCCTCTTTCACTGCTAACCCGATTTCCTTTTCTCTTCCTGCCTCCCCTCTTTCATCACTCTGGGCTGAGCCACTAGCCTCAGTGTGGCTTGCATGGGATTACAGAGGCGTAATCCACAGAGGGACTTTG